GAAGAGGTAGGGCTCCCTGGGTGGGCCAGTTCCGCAGCTCTGGGCGTCATTTTGCAGGCTAGGACTCTAGGCCTTCTGACAACATCGAATGCAGGTAACTCCCCACATTGATGATTTTTCTGTATAAATTGCTAAAGAGGCGTCTGTTTATTGGATCTAAACAGGTGGAGTTGACAAAAGTCTAAAACATAGGTATGGATGCTCAGGGAGATCTGATTTGAGAGCAGCCCTTGCTGACCTGAGCAGAGGAGAAGGTCATTTGACTTCCCTGGGGTGTGGTCCCACGCAAGAAGGGAGGAACACACGCTACTTCTGGGGCTTTTTTTTTTTTTTTTTTTTTTTTTTTTTTGTCAATAACTGTGCCTGTCCTTGGAAATCACCAGGACTCGTCCCTCTGAACGTCGGGATTCTCTCAAGGTAAGGCTTTTGCTTTTATTACCGAGCACCTCCTGTCTACTGGCCAATGCTGTTTCCCCTGCAGACTAACCCAGGTCAGTCCACACTCCCCACCTCTGAGGTCTCTTTCACACTCGCTCAAACAGGTGCATATGTGCACATGCACACGCACACGTCCCTGTACACAATACACAACATTTTCAACGACTTGAATTTTTTCACATTCTTCCTTAATTCCCACAATCCAGGTGTTTTGATCCATCATGTAATCGTCTGGCTCCCGAATTTTCCCTCTCAAAGCATTTTCTCACATTGTATTGAAATTGCTCATTCACTTCTCTGTCTCCCATGTTAAATGTAACTGCAGTGATGGCAAAGACCGTGTCTGCCTTGTTTGGCGGTGTAGACCCAGGACCCGGCATAGTGCCTGCTATACCCATGTCCCAGACATTTAACATTGAATTTATATTCTTCTGTTTTTTTTTTAATTTAAAAAAAAAATTTTTTTTTTTACATTTATTTTTGAGAGACAGAGTGAGAGACAAAGCACAAGCAGGGGAGGGGCAGAGAGAGGGAGACACAGAATCCAAGCAGGCTCCAGGCTCCGAGCTGTCAGCACAGAGCCCGACACGGGGCCCAAACCCATGAACCGCGAGATCGTGACCCGAGCTGAAGTTGGACGCTCAACCGACCGAGCCACTCAGGAGCCCCTATATTCTTCTGTTCTAAGGGCTTGCAGAAATCGGATTGTCTCAGAAGCTCTCAGATCAAAGATCAGCTCTAAAGATCAAAGGAGGTGATAGAAACTCCAGGTGCTGAGGCAAAACTGGGACTTGGCAAAATGTTTCTTTTCCTCCCTAGGTCTCTCATGTTCCCCGCCTCCCATCCTCATCTCTTTTAGCTCAACCGGAACAAACAAACAAACAAACAAAACAGAGAGAGAGCAGTTCAGACCACTTTGCTGCATTGTGTCACAGGAGACCATCTCACTGTGAACATCCTGGCTATTTTCTATGTTATTCATCCTTCTTAGACTTTGGCCCTGTCCCTTATATGATACGTGGTCTTAGAGGAATTTTTAATCTAAGACTCTGTTTTCTCATTTGGAAGCATGGGGCCTTACAGATGGCCGCAAATTCCTTTGCACTATTCCCATCTTAAGGTGGGATCTGTGTCTCTGCACCTTGACCAATGGAATATAGCAGAAGAGATCTGTTGCACAGCCCTTAAGAGACTGGCAGCTTCCTGGGGTGCCTGGATGGCTCAGTAGGTTAAGTGCCTGGTTTCGGCTCAGGTCATGATTCATGATTCCCCCCCCC